AAAATGAGGTCAAGGTCAGATGAACCCTGCAAGACAGACGCGTACACCTTACAATCATGACATACACGAAATATAGTTGAACTATTGCCAATTAACATTGAACAACGAACAATGAAAATGAAGTCAAGGACAGATAATACCTGCCAAACAGACATGTACACCTTAAAATCATTCCATGCAACAAATAAAGTTGACATATTGCTTATAGCATTTTAAAAACAGTCCAAAACACAGAACATCACAGTGACCAATGGACCGTAAAAATAGGGTTAAGGTCAGATGAAGCCTGCCAGACTGACATGTACATCTTTCAATCATTCTATATACCACATATAGTAGATCTACTGCTTATCACGGTAGGTATAGTGTCCAGCAGTGAACGTGTTTTTTCGAGTGAATCGGTCCACTTTTTTCGAGTGTAGATCAGGTTTTTTCGAGTGATATTACATGCGATCAGATCAATTTACTGCTATTTCGCGTATATAATACATGTAGTTTTATTCATGACTGTTCATCTTATTCTGAATACTAAACATGTTTTGAGCACAAACGACGCACAATATCATTGTAATTCACTAACAATCCAGTATTTTACATTGTTCGTGTTTTTTCGAGAGCAACTTTAAAAACGTCCGGTTTTTTAAAAAAAATGGTCCAGGTTTTTCAAAGAAAATGTGAATAAGAAAGAAGGCATTCTTGGGCTTAAAAAATAACTTTTCTAATTTGTAAATGTAATTTAGCGAAGGGCAATATTATATATTACTAATAAGTAACAAAACATATATCAATGTTGATCAAATTTAACCCTTTTCAATTTAATGATATTTTTCTGTTCTTAAATCATTTTACCATAACCTTGCAGTATTAAGATATATTATAATTTAGTGGATTCTTTGTAAAACTGTCTTTAATTTAGAACAGAGAACAGGGAACTCATAATCTCTTCAATATCGTTTCATGCTATAACATTTTTACAGTAAATAATAGTTTATGATTTATATATATTACAGTGGCGAAACCTGGAGTTTAAAATTAGGGTTTAGAAAACAAAGAGACAGAAGTTTTAAATTCAGTAAAGCAATATACAAAAAATATTCTTTTAAGAGAGGCTTGGGACCAGCCAAACCCCCCACCCCAAAAAACCCACTTAATCCGCCCCTGTACTATTTCTTATTGACAAAAATTTTGAATTGAATGGAATATATAATAAAAAATGAAATAAAAACTCTATAAGCTTTAATATGATCCTTTTGAAATAATAAGAAAAATGTGTATACACTATCGTACACCTCGTGTATTTAATTCATGTCTTTCGCAGAGTTCCGTAGATATACATTGGTAATTGTAATGTCTAGATAGAGATCCGTTTTTTTTATTTTTCAAAGCGCTGCTAACTGATGGAAAAGAAGATGTCACGGTGTATTCTTGCTGTGTGACCAAGTATAACATACGCTTGATCATACTCCTCATCACAGTAGTAGCATTTGAAAATTGTTCTTGTTTTCCATTCATAGAACGATAAAACAAACTATCATGAAGACAAATAGTAAATGAAACATCTAGGATAAAATTAGAAATGGAAATGGGGTGTGTGTCAAAGAGACAACCCCAACCAAAGAGCAGAAAACAGCACAAGGCCACCAATGGGTCTTCAACAAAAAATACACATACCCGCTTAACACACACAATGTACGTACGTCTCAATCCAACATTTTACTGCTTGATACTTTAGTCTTGGAAAACATGATTTATTTATTAGTTGTAACTGGTTTTGAACTAGATTTTAGTAACCATGAGTACTCTTATATCGATACTTTGTATCTATTGTTTTAATGTTAGTTGGTTTGTCTGTACTTCGTACCGATCTATTGAGTAAAGCCACTTGTAACTGATTTTTACAGTTGTTCTTATTTTGTGCTGTAACACCACTATCCAAAGTTAGGGGAGGGTTGAGGTCATACAAACATGTTTAACCCCGCCACTATCTTTATATGTCTGTCCCAAGACAAGAGCATGTAATTCAGTGGTTGTCGTTGGTTCATGTCTGTCATATTTGATTTTTTCGTACTTTGTATTATATAACTTAGGTCGTTAGTTTTCTCGTTTTAATTGTTTCAATTTTTTCATGTTGGGGTCTGTTAAAGCTGAATATAAGGTATTGGATTTTCTCATTGTTGAAGGACGTACGGTGACATATATCTACTTTTATCTTCGTCATTTGAACTCTTGTGGATAGTTGTCTCATTGGCATTCATACCACATTTCCTGTTCTTTATATATATATATGTCTGAGCTCACATTGATATTTTTTACAACACGAATATTTACTGTATGATATCCATATTTGGTTGAATTGACATCGATATACGTATGTTTGGATCAATACAACATGTGTACCTGGGCGTTGACTTGTTGGATAGTTCCATCATATTTACATGGGCGTGGACATGTTCGATCTATCCCAATATACCAATGCCGATGTCCATGCAATTTATAAGATGTGGCAAACGATAATATATACAAATATACGATGCTTTTTACGAATGTAAGCGTTGCGTACTACAGTATTACCAAACTGGTTAAATGCATTGGTTTCGTGTATTGAAAAGTTCTTTATTTGAACCTTTTTGTTGCTTTTTTAAAAGTAATCGCACTGACATATAACTTTTTAAGCCATTGAAATTTTGTTTAATCACTCGATCAAAACCTGGACCGCACTCAAAAAAACCCGACTGCTCTCGAAAAAACACGGACAAAAAATGTCTTTCTCATAGCAATAACAAGATTTTTTATAAAGTGTCTGTATATATAAGGATATATAGATTCCAAATATACTTTTCCTTTGACATTTGCATTGGTACTTGTATACAAATAGCTTTATTCTATATTTTGGAATAAAAGCATTGTAAAGCTAAATTAAACTTTTAGAACACAAAATAATGTAGGGGTAATGATTTCTTTTTATCGCCAATACTAACTTAAATTGTATGGTCTTGTATATTAAGTTTAAGCATCTATTTCACGTCTTACCTTACAAAAAAAAGGAAGTCTGTTTACATTTTTGATCATATTCAGTCGAGAAAACGTGGTCACACTCGAAAAAACACAATCAAATCACTCGAAAAAACACGATCCCAGCCGGACACTATACCTACTGTGCTTATGTTGTCCGAGAAACGGACCTACGCACGTTCCATTAACCTTGGTGACTGCTCCATGAAATGATGTCGAGGTTAGGTGAACCCCGTCTGATGGACATGTAGACATTGCAAGGAACCAATATACTTATTTTTATCCTTTAACGAAAGTAGTATATGTTTCAAACGAAGTTGGTCACAATTTTTGCAAACTTGTTCGTTTGCTTAGAAAAGCCACCACACATGCATTTTCACGGACATGAAAAAGCGGAACCGGATCAAAATGTCATTTTTGCAAAATTTGGTAAACACAGTTTATCAAAACATTGTCCCTGACCATTGTGAAGTTAAGAATATTGACATTCATGCTAAAGAAGAAAAAAAAGTATATGATTATTTACGTTATGAAAAATAAGTTTATTATTTTTTTAGATTTTGCATTCCTCCGAGAATGCCGTCAAGCAATCTGTTTTTATAAAAAAAAAAACGACATGTGGTATGAGCGACAATAAGACAACAACCACCAGATTTCAATGTCAGCATGTCACCGTACGGTCTTCAACAATGAGAAAACCCCATACCGTATTTAGTATATTTGAAAAAACAGGGAATTTTTCACATGATGTTGAACTACTGTAACATTCTGCAGGAAAAAAATGATTGATCTATCAATATTATGATAAAACATGTTTAATTTTTATATTCTGGATTTCGAGGAACATGCAAATGAGCAATCTTTTGGTCGTTTTGCTCAAGTATTTGAGGCGGGACAAGAAAATATTTGGTGTTTGTAATTTTCTAGCGTTCAGTGTATGTTCGAATTCACTGGTGTTAATATGTCCTTTGATTGAGTTAAGCTATTTCAGTTGATATTTTATAGTGTGTCTTTCTATGTTACACTATTCAGAAAAAAGGGTAAAGGTTTGGTACCATTAAAATGTTTAAACCCGCTGCATTTGTTTGCACCTGTCATAAGTCAGGAATCTGATGTTCATTAGTTGTCGTTTGTTGATGTGGTTCATAAGTGTTTCTCGTTTCTCGTTTTTTATATAGATTAGACCGTTGGTTTTCCCGTTTGAATGGTTTTACACTAGTAATTTTTGGGGCCCTTTATAGCTTACTGTTCGGTGTGAGCCAAGGCTCCGTGTTGAAGACCGTACTTTGACCTATAATGGTTTACTTTTATAAATTTTGACTTGGATGGAGAGTTGTCTCATTGGCACTCATACCACATCTTCTTATATCTATTGTCGTGCTGCGCATGCTCACACTTGTTATTTAAAGTATCGTGAAACAGTAGTTATTTGACGGATCCAAAAGTGATCAAATGTTACATCCCATCACTATCAAGCCACTGCCAAAATATGAAGTCATTCGTTTTATAGTACGTGAGAAAAGTATTGCGAAAATAATTGGACCAACGGAAAGACGAACACAGTGAATGCATTAAAGCCCCTATGAGTGGTGGTATAATTAGGTTGAATGAGAAGTAGGGGAAGAAACTGATACCAGTTTTCCCTCGTATCTTTGCAATAAGATGGGAGTAATCGCTCCCTGTTCCGCTGCCTATAGTTAGCTATATATATATCTTTGCCTTGCAGACATATCTATACCGAATTGATCAATGATAATCCGCCCATGACTTTGTTAAATTACAGAGGCGTTTTGTTATTTGCATTGCGGGATAGGGTCATGAGGTGCATACGTATTTAGATAAAACTCCTGGCAAGGTCGAACAAAAGACTGGTAGTTGCCGCAGCTTTCAAAAACAAGCGGTATATACGAGTAAGAGCAAAAACTCGAAATCTACCCGAGTGTCTCTGGTTTATGAACAATGGGATGATATATAGAAAATGTCGCAAAACAAGATTACGTCAGAATTTAATCAACTAATTTCATATCTTAAAAAAATTCAATGTTAATATAAACATAAGAATGTCATGGTTTGTTACATAAACAATGATAAAAAATATAACAATATGCATGGTCTAACAAGTGAAAAGACATAATCATAATAGTATAAAATATAAATTCAATAGAACTAACAGCAGACCAAAATGTATCAGTATAACACGAATGCCCGCGTTCATGGCAAAAAAGATTCTAACATGGGTCATGATTTTTAAACTACAAAATGCAAACATATAAAAAAAATGCTCAAATAGTTGGAGAAATGCGGTTTCTGATTAAAAATCATTGTAAACTTTGAAAATACTTTTTTCGAAATTTTGTTGATTGAAATCAAAGTTTTCAATGAAAAAAATTAATCAGTAAGTTGTGTTTTTTTATTATCGTTCGTGGTTTTCATTTTACGATAAAAAAAACCGTGACTCTAAGAAACCTATATTGCGTCAACCATTTATGAGTAACATTTACCAGATTTATACAGCTATATTTCATATTCAGAAACCTAAGAGAACAATTGACGAATTGGTCTTGTTAAATTTTAAAACAAGCAAATTCTGCAAGGTTCGTTTTGATTTTCTACCACAGCGTCAATGCCAATGTTGGTGGACTATTAGTCCCAATATGTTTCATTCGCACAGTGCCTTGGCCATTGTCAATATTTATCACGTACACGAGGATGGATTTTCAATTGGTAAGTTATAGAATGTTAAGAGATATTTGCTCTTCAGGCATAGTTGTTCTAAAATGTTTCTGGCTATTCTTTAACGCGCTGTTTTACATGTGTCCCCGTGTTTTAGGGCAATACATCTGCGAATTTGTTGAAAGTTGGCTCTGAAGGTTAATTCCCGGTGAAGGTTAAACCGAACAAGATTTTATAATCAGTAAATTCCTCTTTTCTTCTTTGAATTATTAACAGCAGTTATGTTGGCTTATTAGTAGAATATTTCAAAATAATCACCATGATAGATCAAGCAAAGTGTGGTCCTTAAAAGGATGAAAAACACTTAGACGGACGAAAAATGGTGGCAATATGTCATACTGGCCTTATGACTTAGAAGATTTTAAAATCTATATATGTTACAAAGCTGACTAGAACTATCATTTGATATATTTTTTTTCTATTATAAAATTGGTATTATTGCGTTATATGTGCAAAATGTATCTGAACTTAAAAAGTTAGTCTACAAAATTACATTAAAAATAATCTACAGTTTATAAAGTTTCCATAATACATTACTTACTTAACCCTCGAACCTATTAAATTTAAGAACGACAATAAATTAATGATGATACATGTACCCTTTAGTATAGACTCGCACGCTCCTGTGTAAATTTGCTATTTCGTACGTCAAATTTATTGACGGCTGCCTGTATTTGTGCTGCCTTTATAAGTAAATCATATGTTTATTTATATATATATAGTGAAGGCTATATTTTTCCGTCAGTTTGAATACAGTGCTCTCAACAGTAAAATTGCCCGAAAATGTCTCAAACCGAAACGTTATCTATATTAGTTATATGAAAACTTAAGTGTGCGGCACTCTACTCTGCGAAGATTTTTGTTTTCCGTTTGCACCCTGATAACTAAAATATTGGGTCCGGGAATAGATTTAAGATATTACCTGAATAATAAAATGCTTAAGGAATTTAGGTATTTACTTTTTCTTCGGTCGCCATCCGTTGATAAAATCTACTATTTTCTTGATTTCTAAAGCATTCAGTTCAGGAAACCCTTCCCTTAATAACTTTTTGTCCAATGAGCAGAGTAAATTTCCGTCTATTTGTTCGTTTGCGAGTCTTATGACAACACGGTCCTTCATTCCAATATACCTCATTGATTTAGATATTTCGTTGACAGTTAAGCCAACTAGATCATTCGGAGGTAACCATCCATCATCTATGTATTCCGAGTACTCACTATAGCTGAACTCGCTATCTCCGTGAAATCCATAGTCCCCAGATATTGCCGAGTCGTTTCCTCTATAGATATCACTGAAACCAGAATTTGACGCCGATCGTGGATACCGACGACTATCCTGATCACCAGACAACACATATGAAGCAGACCTCACGTATTCTGTTGGGAAAGAACGAGATTCTCGAAGTCCTTCATTTTCAGTGTAGTCATCAACATTGTTCGGAAATACCGAGTTGAGTGCTTCCTTACTTTGTCTTAGATCATTGATCGAGTCATGATAATTAAATACATCCATCACATTACGAATACGACGCGAGTTGTGGCTTCGAACAGTTGCATTAGCTGGGAAATTTAAATTTTTCTGAGATCTTGATTTCGTTCGGTTCCAATCAGACATTGATCGTGTTTCTAAATTTTGGTCATCGTTAAATATTCTTTCATCCAATGAACTCTTTCTTTTTGTTTCTGCGAGTGCCGTAGCTCTATATGGTGACGAATATATTTGATTTCTATTTGAATGATTTGAATAATTACTTACATTATTATCGAATTCTTCATAATCTGGTATGTTACCGGGAATTGCACTACGTACTTTACGGGCACGAATTTGCTTGGCGTTTTCTTTAGGAGCTACTGGTGGTTTTGTTCTTACAACACCACTAGTCCCGTATGGATTTTCTGAACGCAATTTTTGTTTTACCTGAGCTGGACACATATAACCATCTTCTTCATCTCCGTGGGAACCATATAATTTATTATGATGTTGTGATGACGGTGGTTGAGGTGCTGGGGGTAGTTCTTCGTAAACAACATCGCTGTAAATACCTGTTCTAGGTGAAGACGTGCTATTTGGAACGGGCGGAAGATCACGATTTTGCACCGGATATTGCCGCATCATGCCGTATGACGCTGATTTTGAGTTGTCTTGGAAATTATTTGAAGACTGATCTAAGGAATCAAATTCAGAAATAAATTTAGGGCTATTTGCTGAAGTATCAGTTTTTGCAGTTGTTCCACCGTTGTTTTCATCTTCATCTCCTACTTGAAAAAAATCTTCTAAATTCATATCACTTTTACTTAATCTAGAGGAAAATACACCCGCAGTCTGTAAAGCTTTTAAACTGGCACGTTCTTTTTTACTTTTTGATCTGACACTCAGTTTATCTAATATACCACTACCTTTTGATTTTTTGTTGACTTTTACTCTCATTGGTAACATAGGATCTGAAGTCTCATTCATATATAATGGATCTGGTATCATTTCCGTGTTCGGCGATCCTACATCATCCTGTTCAAAATTTTGGCGTTGTCGCTGTGATTTCCTACTCTTAGTCATACCCTTTACTAGCCGAATATCAGCATCAGCTTGGATTTCATACATTGCATTTCTGTCGCCCGTTGTAGAAAATTTAGCCACACCAACCACTTCTTCATCTTGAACTCCCTCAAGAATAATCATACCATTTGGTACAATAGTCTGATTTTCTTGTTCAATATCCTGTACAAGTTGTGCTTTTGCTGGTAATTTAAATGCCATGACTAGATCGTGGAGTTCGTAGACAGCGTCATAGTTACATGATGATACATCACCAACTGGACTAAAAAGACCTGTCATTATTAATGGAACCATAATTTCCTTACCCTGGTCATCAAAGCATTGTAGATATTTTAGTTCTTGGTCTTTTTTGTGATTTTTACTAGATTTAAGAATTCGTTTAAAAAACGTTCGCATGGAAGATTTTCCTTTCTTTTGGTCCATGTAGACAATGCCAGTCGTTAAAACATCTCCTGGTTTCACTTCCAAAGGCTGCCAGCTACTTGAACCATTTTCATTAGCTAGGTGATATCCAACAATGGATGTCCGTACCAAAAACTTTTTTGGTTTTACGTTTGCTATTGATTGTATGGAATCGAAATATTCAACAGCCCTTCCGTCGTCTGGTAGCACTTCAAACCAGCCTACAAGTAAACAACATTGACAATCAGATTTATATTTAAATTCTTAATAGCTTTGGCTTTGACAGGATGCGATCAGGGAATCATTCGGCAAAATCGTTTGCTTAAATTTGCAATTTAAATTTAGATTACAATCAACAATTTATCCGCTTTAAAACCGAGATAATACAAAATTAGAATCATATACTTAAGGAACCATAACGACACAATAAATGTAGGTATAACGTCATGAAACGGACATTTTTTTTGTTTGTTTGATACCCCGAGCTAGCACGAGTATGATGAATATTTAAAATATTGAAAAAAAACAAAGCACAGTACTCCGCCGTCACAGTAATTTTGATGGGGTAGCTGGTCCTAAAAAAACGTGGATGTCATGCTTATTTTTCTGAATTTCAGTATGAATTAATGTATCAGTCATTATTTATACGAGCATCGTTTGTTTGGTACATTATACTTTGAAGATATCTTTAACGAGGTGTGGATGCCTCGGTGGCCGAGTGGTCTAAGTAGTCAAGAGAAAAGTAGTCGAACTACTGTATCACTAGCTAGTCAACACTGAGGTTGTGAGTTCGAATCCCGCACGGAGCAGGTGCACTCGACTCCAATCTTAATTGACTAGGATTGTTAGTTTTCCTACCGAAGGTCGGTTGTTCTCTCCGGGCACTCCGGCTTCCTCCACCTATAAAAACTGACCGCCACGAAATAGCACCATAGTGTTGAAAGTGGCCTTAAACACCAACCAATCAATCAATCAAATAACGAGATGTGGGAACTACATTAAGAAGGCAGCAACCCAAATATAGTTACTTTCAGTAGCCTCTTTTTCAGTAAAATTGTCTTACTGTACAGTGAATATGTTACAGATACATTTGTAAAAATGGCGATTATTTTAAATTGTTTTGGTCACAAAATCATATCTCCGTCGTATTTCGAAGTAGCCCAGAATTAATTTGATCTTATATTTATAAGAAGAAAAACATTTTGACAATTTCAACTCCCATATACATATTGATCCCACATTTTGCTGCATGAAACTCTAAAAACATAATCTTAAATACTTATGTAGTGATCTGATATTTTTGGTGAAAGAATGAAATATAAAGCAGGACTTTGACATTCTGATCTGTTTTGCTCTGTCATATTTTCACAATCTATTATGGTTTGCAAGATATACTAAGCCAATTAATTAATTTTACCATTATATTCTATTTTTAGCCATGGAGGAAATTTTGTTAACTGACAGGAATAAAAAAAAACACACTTAATTCTAGATACCCTAAGGATCAATCCGGATATGTTTGGTTCAGAGAAAATGTTAGAAAAAGTTTACGGCGGCGACGACGAACGCCAAGTGATGACAAAAGCTGATATGGCCTTTTAGGCCAGATGAGCTAACAACGAAGAATGCAATTACATATACATTGTACTAATCTTTTACATGTACATTTGTTCTTTTAATACTGTTAAAAATCACCTATTCTATGGTAATACTTGATGGCGTACTCAAGTTTTTATAAGGACACTAAACTTGTTTTCATTACACCTTACAATTGTCTTCATTTATACTAATAGACTTCATTTTTCAATGAAGTAAAAATAAACTAATTATTTCTTTAAAATGGTAGTGACAAACTGAAGTTAATTACTTGGTTAATTATATGTTTAAATACAGTTTTGTATAATTTATTGAACTTGTTAGTGTTATGCTTTACTACACATACATACATGTAGGTAACAGTCCTGTGGTTAAACACTTGACACATGCTTTAACTCGTGATACATGTATAAAATGATAATGATAAGTGAGAAACGAAAGCATTGCTTTCATAATACTTACTTAGTATTTACTACCTAGTTTCCAAATATGTAAACAAGTTCCTATGATCCCAATAGATAAGGGACACGACAGTGACGATAATGTCTATATTACCAGAAACTTTGGATTACATATACTGAACTGCACAATCAACCAACTTGTCAAGAAAGAAACAATAGTATAGCGCATCATATATATTAGATTGTTCGACTGGTAACAGTTTCACAATCGGTTTTTTGACGATCAATGGATTTGAATGGGGACATATAGTTGGATCCCCCCTTTATCCTGGGTTAGGACCCCCCCCCTTTTATAAATGGCTGGATCCGCCCCTGTGTATAGTTATTTTTATCGCTGTGTTGCTGTCCCATTGATATACACCTCATCTCCTTTTATTCATATTTTTGAATTATTATTTAATTACATGGCAGATATTCAGGGATACCAAAACCCGTTATTAACTATAAACCGTATACATTTAGGTAAAGTTAAAAATACACTGTAGATATATTTCTACGTTGAGAAAGAAAATGGTATAGGTTGAACATGGTGAACATGATGAACCTTCTTGTATGCCAATCATTTCAACACTCACAAAATCAAATGTCACATTCTTATATATATATATATATATATATAGCATAATCTTTTATTTTGAGTCTCGTACGCCATATAGACCTGCTGAAATAGGGAAGTATCTGTACGAAGAGAGCAAGTTTTTTACTGTACAATTTTTCGTGTCACATACCTATATAGCAGCAAAAGTCAATTCATCAAAATGTGCTAAGTTTGACCTTTATATTTTTGACAAGAATTAAGATCAGTCATAGATTATTCTGTTATATTAAATGTCTTATCAGATCCATTGTCAGGTATTTCGGAAAAGGGGGGAAATGCCTGTCATTAGGACTGTGTTGTGGGGGCATCTAAATGCTCCAAGGAGCTCTAGGGTAATCGGTGCAATGTCATGCATTCTGGCAATTGAAAAAAAGGTCGACTTTAATAGTGTTAATGGTTTTTAAAGGGGTTCGTGTGAAACCCCTAAACGGCTGCTGGTGTACATATTATTTTGTGAAGGTTTCGCATGAGCATGTGTGTATATATTGTAACTGAATGAACTAAATTCATAAATGGGATATCAATTAGTACTTATTTATGTACATTCCTCTCCTTTAACATGATTTTCCTTTTGTCTTTCACATTTACAGTGTAGTTCAATAAGCCTTTTGTATGTCATTTCTACTATTTAATGTATATAATGGGTAGTCATTTGAGGTACTGTCGTAATTCGTGCATATTTGATAACTGATAAGTAAATTAAATCATTTGGGGATATTTGTTCGTCTTGTTCAAACCGTTTCAAACATTTAGGAATATTTGATATAATCAAATACTTCGTACGTTGGCAAACAATTAAAATTACATTAATTTTAAAACGCCTGATCAGCTAGTCCAACCGGGACATCTTCTTATTTATTGAGTCATATTTTATTTACCCGACATTTTAAAGGGACAAGCTGTCAAAATAAAATAACCATCTTAAAATTTGTTTGTAGTTTTTCTTGCCATAACACATAATTTTCGTCCAGAAGCAACAATTTGTATTTTAAAGTTTTAAAATTGATTGCTGGTATGGTTGATTTATATGAAATAAGTCCCTTAGGCTACCCATTAAGTTGTTCCAAAAAAAGGTGAGAAATTTTGTAAATCTACACGAAACATTACCACTTTCTAAAGACACATTTAAACATGTATGCTAAAATAAATCAATTAGTTCGTTAATAAAAAGTTATAAAAAAACATACCACATGACATAAATTTTACCTTTGTATGTTATTGGGATCTGAATTTCATTTTGTGACGGTAAATATTCTGCTTGCTGTCGATTCCACTGCATTCGACGTATGATGATAATTTTACGGCAACGAACTTCCAGAACGTGTAACAAATTTTCCATTTCATCTTCCGAATCTGAACGAGAGTCTGAGCTGTCACTTTTCCATCCGGGGATGTAACTTGAAATTGTACCTTTTTGAATTTTAGCCACAAATGGCATTCGGTCTCGACACAGTACTATTAAGTCTTTCAGATGTCTTGGTTTGTCATCCCATGTAATGTCAGCAATCTGAGGCGGTGACTTTCTTACTGTCGCATACACATCATCGACAGTCCTGAACCGGTCCGCCATTTTACTGACCTTAGTTACAGTGACGCCGTTTGAAATGGTTTATCTGTCCTCCATAGATCTGTTGATGAATTCAGCATAACTTTTGCCTCCTGAAAACTTCATAGTACCTTCCTGTCTTTTGCAATGAATAGGAACTGTTACACACTACATGTGTACCTTTTAATGACATGCTAAGTAGAATGTACACGGCCCAGTTGTTCTACCTGTGTGAATATTGGGTAAAATAATCCGGTACAAACTACCCATACTTTATCGATCCGGACATTTAAATGTTATATTGCATTTATTTGACTTACTGGACAATAAAGATAATATATTTCTAGTATTAATTAATCGCGTTTATGTTATAATGACAACTTTTGACCTAATCCAATACCAGCATATTTGATCCATATTATGTCTCTGTCAATACACATATTATAGATTTTTTTCTAAAGTCGGTATAAAAGTTTATCTTTACGTAATGGTTAGTCTGGACATTTATAATCAAAGGTTTTGATTACTTAACTTTTTTGGGGATTTTGATAAATTAAGTAGTATTTATCCAACAGTCAGTTGTGTATAACAAAAATAGTATATATAAAGAAGATTTGTACACCCAGTGGCGGATCCAGGGGGTGGGGTTCCGGGGGTTGGAACCCCCCTTTTTTTTGGCGATCAATGCTTTTGAATGGGGACATATGATTGGAACCCCCTTTATCCTGGGTTGGAACCCCCTTTTAAAAATGGCTGGATCCGCCCCTGACACCAATGTTACCATTAGTAGCCAGTACTTCGAGGGTATCACCAGCCCAGTAGCCAGTACTTCGAGGGTATCACCAGCCCAGTAGCCAGTACTTCGAGGGTACCACCAGCCCAGTAGCCTGTACTTCAGTACTGGCGTGAAAGTACGGATGTTGTTAGATTGAAATTTGCTGTTAAAAATTTTGGAAATAATTTTAAATTAAGGGATATATCTCTATACCGCAAAGCTCTGATTCCTTGTCAGGATTTGGTGTCCTTATTCATTTGGTTTGATCAGCTTTTCAACGTTCGTACTAGGTTTTGGATTTTCAAATATTTTGGCCTCGGTCAAAATAAATAAACATGTATTGTATTCTTCTTTGATAGAAAAAATCCATATAATTATTGTATGAGATGAAGAAATACAAAGTAAAGAATTATAAAAAAAAAAGGTTTTGGATTTTCAAATATTTTGGCCTCGGTCATCACTAAAGAGATATTAATTATCGAAATACGTATCTGGTGCAGTAAAATTGATACCGTTTATGTTATGTTTTATAGAATGAAATACGATTGTAAAACAAAATTATAGACCGAAACGATACATGTACTGTATGACAAATCTTTTTATTAAGTTTGGCAGTAATATTTGATCGATTCGAGTCTTGGTTGCATGGCGTTAAACAATTGAAATACAGATGAAATGTAGATGTCATGTAGCATTATAACCACTTATTATATTGAAACTAATTTACATGTGTATTGCCATGGAGTTGTCAGTTTCTGAATGTCTCATTGGTATTTTCCGCCTATGTTTTAAGGTCCAACTGAATTATTTTATCTCGATTTGAAGAAAAAAACATTGCTTGGAACCAAGACATAAAATGAGATAAGATACCAAAGGAGAATACTTGGTGTATGTTTGGTATATCAAAGCTTACTTGTAAATTTCATGTTTATTCAAAGATTGATTTTTTTAAACGTTATTTTTCATTGATTTTTTTTTTCATTTTCTTTCTCACTCCCTAGTTGCATGTATTTTAAAACAAGTATTCTATTTCATCAATCTTTACATTGAAAATAATAATTGCGATTAAATAATTTCTTTTTGCTTTATCAAGTTAACGAGACTGTTTAATATTTTTAGCAGTGTGGAAAAAAAAAATATATCAAAATAATTGTTGCATAATGATTATGAAATAAAAAGAAGAATCGAACAAACTAAGATAAGATAAGATAAGATAAATTGTATTTCTAATAGAGGACCCATTATAGGCATAGTCAGTACATTGATTTTTTATATCACACAATTGCAATAGACAATACACAAGAAAATAAAAAAAAGAACCACAACTGAAAAAAAAAACATTAAATATAAATTAAGATAATGTGTTTCACTATTTTATCTTAATTATTGATTGAATGTTGTTTGCGTACTCCAACATATTATAAGGATTTCGCGAAATAGAAATATGTTGAAACGGTAGATGAAACCCAAACTAATATAGCTAGTCCCCATTTTCACTTATGGTAATAGATAGAAAACTCAATTTTATTCATACACGATTGAGAAATATTTGCGGTTCTCTAAATGCAGATTTTCACCGGGTTAATATCAAACCTAATCCCGCATGCAGCTTTGGCCATCCAGTTGAAGATTGCATTCACTTTTTTTCGAGAGCCCTTTCCACAATGATGCAAGATGATGATGTTGATGGTGATTGACTGCTTAACGTCCAGCGGCAATATAATATGCATATTCAGGACGGGAACATGTTAATTTAATATGCATATTAATCCTGCTTTGTACTAGACCGACACGCTGAGCCAGATTTTTAACGTGCTAGTTCACAAGGTAACAGTCCACAGGAATACATGTCACCTTACTCGGAAACATTATTCCGACTCCGAGCCGACCAGTCTTTGCTCTTAGTCCTTAATGCCGCGTGCTTAGCAGAGAAACAGCAAAAACCAATTTTAAAGTCTTTGGTTTGACCCGGCCGGGGTTCGAACCCAGGACCTCCCACACTCGAGGCGAACATGCTAACTCTAGACCACCTAGGCGGTCAGTGAAGCAAGAGATATATTGTCTTTAGATTAGAAATATATGTTAAATATATTGAGCTCCTCATGTTTGGTGACGGAAACTTTACATTTGAGCAAAAATAATGAAATTTTGTATTCTGTACTATCATTTATCAGAAAAACACAAAGATTCAGAAAATATAACTAACACTTGAATTCTCACTCACTCAACTCCAGTCTTCTTTTATCTTATATTTCATACTTATGTTGTAATTTTCCTTGTTTTTTGTTTTGTAGTACATACATCTCTATCGATCTTGTGAGGATCACATTTACACGCTGAATAGTATTGTCCGCAATAATAAGTCTCTTTTTGTAGCGTTTATTGATCTAAGAATATGTTTTGACTTCATAGACAGTGATATGATGATGTATAAACTACTCATACACAACATTGATCGCAAACTGTACAACTCTGTGAAAAGCATCTACCAGAATTCTGAATCCTGTGTCCGATTAAATGGCAAACTTACAAGATGGTTTAACTGTAAATCCGGAGTGAAACAGGAGGACAATTTATCACCTACACTTTTTTCAATATTTATCAATGATCTAGTAAAGGAATTGAAAGATCTAGGAGTAGATTTAGATAATAGGAAATTGTCGGTTTTATTGTATGCGGATGACATAGCTATATTAGCAAAATCGGAATTGAACCTTCAATGTATGTTGGATAAACTTCACTTATGGTGTAAGCGGTGGCGAGTATTGATTAACATTGATAAGTCGAAATGTATTCATTTTAGAAAAGGAAAACCCAAACAAACTGAGTTAAATTTCACCGTGGGTAGGAATCAGTTGGAAGTAGTTAACCAGCACAAGTACTTAGGTGTAACATTTAGCTACAACAGCAGTTTTTTTGTCGAATGTGGAAATTCTTGCGAAAAGTGGCGGACGAGCACTTGGGAATATAATTGCTAAAATCCATAATATTAAAGACTTTGGATATAAATCATATGAAAAATTGCTTAACTCTTGTATTGTTCCTATACTTGATTATTCGTCTGGTGTATGGGGATACCGAAAATATCAGTCAATAGACAATATTCAGAACCGAGCTATTCGCTACTATTTAGGAGTACACATATTTGCACCTATCCTTGCTATACACGGATATATCGGTTGGATCCAGAGTCAGTATCGGCGATGGATAAATATGGTGAGATACTGGACTAGACTTATTCGATTTGACAGCAGTCGCATCACCAAACTAGCATTCAATATTGACTATGATTGTTGTAAAAGTAATTGGTATAGTGAAGTTAAGGACATATTATACCAACTTGAATTAGGACATATTTACGAATTGAAATCAGAGGTCGACTTGTTATTGGTTGAAACTAACATTTTTCGCTTTTATTCAGATATCTGGAGGAATTTCGTCCAAAACGTTTCGAAACTTTAAAAAAGTCTTTAACACTGAAAATTACGTTAATTTTGAACTTGAGTAAAATTGAGCGGTCACACTTAGCCCAATTTAGAAGTGGAATTTTATCATTAAGAGTGGAAACTGGAAGATACTCGAACGAAAGTGTAGAAGAAAGACTATGCATATTTTGTAAAAATCAAGAAACCGAAACTGAGTTCCATTTTTTCTTTGATTGCCCTTTATGTATTGAATGTCGAATTAACTTTTAACCAAGGAAAATTTCTCAGATTTGAATCATGCAGCAAAATATATAGTTCGTGCATTTCAAATAAGACGTCAGTTGCTGTATAATCCATAAAATTTAAATTATTTATATATTTAATCTAATTATTTGAACATTTCTTTTAATTTTTAATTAATTCAGAAGTATTATATTAACATTTAGTCCGTGGTATTAAGTCAAATAGGTGACTTATAGGTCCAATGGGCCGGGTGTAACATTGACTATACAAACTCTGTAATTGTGTCATATTTATTGATACATGTTCACAAGTCACTATAATAAACTAATTACTTACTTACTTACATCTCTATCATGTTTCGTCATTATTATTTTTTTTTTTGGTGTATTGGGAGAGGACGTCGCTACCATGTTGCTATAATTTGTGTCCAATCGTTTTTGCTGTTCTTGCAAAAAAAATCTGTTTAAACTTGTTTTGTGTATGCGTTATAATCTAAACGATGACACATTATTAACAAGTAGTATTGATGGAAAATGGTTTGATTGATTGGTTGTTGGTTGAATAACGTCCAGTGGCAAATATTGCATGCATGTTCAGGACGAGAACAAATAAACAATAAATAACGTGGCAATAGGTAGGTCCTGTAATAGAGGCTGTCCGGGATGAAGGTCTGGGAATTTGGACTGCAACTGGCAAATGAGGGTATATTTAATGGGGACAGAAATTTTGCCTTGCAACAGACCACCTACGGACCCCTCAAAGAGTTGTTGCAAAGGTTCTTAACGGATTGAGA